GTCACTGCAACCTCCGCCTCCTGGGTTCAAGCGATTCTCTTGCCTCAGCCTCCTGAGTAGCTGGGATTACAGGTGTGCGTCGGCATACCCAGCTAATTTTTGTATTTTTAGTAAAGATGGGATTTCACCATGTTGGCCAGGCTGGTCTCGAACTCCTTGAACCTCAAGTTATCTGCCCGCCTCAGCCTCCCAAAGTGCTGGGATTACAGGTGTGAGCCACCTTGCCCACCTAATTTTGCTTTCAATAGTCATACATATTTTTAAACGTAAGGGGATAAAAACGGTCTGTTACATTTACTCATATATTTGCCATTCCTGTTGCTTTATCTTCATTGTTAAAATTTCAACTTTCACTCTGATAAAATTTCTTTTCTGCTTGAATAACTTCATTAGCGTTTCATTTAGAGCATGTCTTTGAGTGATAAATTCTTAGTTTTCTCCATATGAGAATGTTTCAATTTTATCTTCTTCTTTTTTTTTTTTTTTTTTTTGAGACAGAGTTTCACTCTTGTCGCCCAGGCTGGAGTGCAATGGTGCGATCTCTGCTCACTACAACCTCTGCCTCCCGGGTTGAAGTAATTCTCCTGTCTCAGCCTCCCGAGTAGCTGGCATTACAGGAGCCTGCCACCACACCCAGCTAATTTTTTTGTATTTTTAGTAGAGATGGAGTTTTGCCATGTTGGCCAGGCTGGTCTCAAACTCCTGGCCTCAAGTGATCTGCCTGCCTCGGCCTCCCAAAGTGCTGGGATTGTAGGCGTGAGCCACTGTGCCCGGCCAGTAAATTTCTGTTCATTATAAATTACCCAGTCTATGAGATTTTGTGATAGCAGCACGATACAAACTGAGACAATGGCAAAGGGGCTTTTTTTCAGCTAAGAATCTTGAGAAGGGGAGATTATTGTGAATTACTCAAGTGGGCTCTTAATGTAATCACAATGTGCCTTGTGATTGATGTATCTTGTTCAAACTTCACTGCACTTCTTGAATCTGTAAATATATGTCTCTCACCAAATTTGGGAAGTTTTAGGTCATTATTTCTTCAGACATTTTTTTCTGTACCAGTCTCTTTTTCTTTTTATAAGATTTCAATGACACGAATATTCGACTTTTAAATGGTGTCCTATAAGTCTCTGAAGCTCTGTTAATTTTTTTCTAATTTCTTAGTTCTTCAAATTGTATAATTTTTATTGATTCATCTGCAAGTTCATGAACTTTTCTCTCTGTAATCTCCATTTTCCTCTTGATCTCATCCAGTGAATTTTTGTTTCAGATATTGTATTTTTCAGTTCTAAAATTTCCATTTGGTTTTTTTAAAAAATAGCTTATTCCTCAGCTGAGAACATGAGAACATCCATCTTTCCACTTCTTTCTTTGTTTCTTTGCTTCTCTCTCTCTCTTTAGTTCTTTTTTGAGACAGAGTCTTGCTCTGTTGCCCGAGGTAGGGTGCAGTGGCATGATCATAGTTTACTGCAGACTCAACCTCCAGGTTAAAGCTATCCTCCCATCTCAGCCTCTGAGTAGCTGGGATCACAGGGGTGTGGCACCATACCCAGCTAATTTTTTAACTTTTTGTAGAGACAGAGTTTCTCTATATTTCCCAGGTTAATCTTGAACTCCTGGGCTCAAGTGATCTTCCGCCTCAGCCTCGCAAAGTGCTGGGATTACAGGTGTGATCCACCACGCCTGACCTTTCCATTTATTTCTGTTATGTACATCTTTACCTCATGGAGCATGGTTAAAATGTGTACTTAAAGTATTATTATTATTATTTTTAGACAGGGTTGTGCTCTGTTACTCAGGCTAGAGTGCAGTGACGTGATCATAGCTCACTGCAACCTAGAACTCCTGGGCTCAAGTGATCCTCCTGCCTCAGCCCTCAAGTAGCTAGGACAACAGGCATGTGCCACCATGCCCGCTATTTTTTAAAGTAATTTTTTAGAGAATGGATCTCACTATGTTACTCAGACTGGTCTTGAACTCCTGGTCTCAAGGGATCCTCCCGCTTTGGCCTTTCAAAGTGTTGGGATTATGGGTATGAGCCAATGCACCCGGTCGTGTCTTAGAGTTTTAGCTGCCTGTGCTGCTACAGCTGCACAACTGGATCTGGCTTCAGGGTGATGAAATGAGAAAAAAGAGAGAGAGAGAGAAAAAAGAAAAAACAACTAGCGCTTCCCCCATCCCTACACTCACTGGGCCACAGTGCCCTGTGTTAGGTGCTTTTGTTGCTGCCCAAATGCTTCTACTGTGCAGCTCTGCATCTGGAGTCACTCTCAGGACAGAGCTTGGGAGAGGAAAGACACAAAGAAAGAAAGAAACAAGGATCCCACCCATACTTCCCCAACTCACAAGGACCCATTTTCCCAGTCCTCTGACCAGAGAGACAGAGTTTAACTCAGAGATTTTGTTGCCTGTGCCTGCTGCATAGTTCAGCCCTTAGGTCACCTTCGAGTCAAAGCTGGAAGACAATAGAGAAAAAAGAATTCGGGGAAACTCACTCAAATGTTGTTTTTCCAGTGTTGGGAGGTAGTTGCTTTTTGTATTTGTCCAGTGTTTTTAGTTTTAATTGGTGCAAGAGCTAGACTAGAGTGGGCTTGCTCTGTCCTAGCAGATTGCGTAGACTCTCTTACTAGGGAAATTAGGATTGCTTGTTGTTAATTTCCTTTATCATGAGAAGGAAGTGTCTTTCTATTCTGTATCTGCTGAGTATTTTTCTTTTCACTGATGTGGAATTGTTTAACAAAAGGTTGATATCATATAATTAGAGTGTTTGCTTTTGGGTCGGGGGTGGTTTGAGACGGAGTCTTGCTCTGTAGCCCAGGCTGGAGTGCAATGGTGTGATCTCGGCTCACTGCAACCTCTGCCTCCCGGGTTCAAGCGATTTGCCTGCCTCCCGAGGAGCTGGGATTACAAGCGTGTGCCGCCATGCCCAGCTAATTTTTGTATTTTCAGTAGAGATGAGGTTTCATCATGTTGGCCAGGCTGGTCTCAAACTCCTGAACTTAGGTGATCTGCCTGCCTTGGCCTTCCAAAGTGCTGGGATTACAGGCGTGAGCTACTGCACCTGGCTGGACAAAGTTATAATTCGATAGAAGAATAAATTCTGGCATAGTAGAGTGACTGTGGTCAACAGTAAGGTATCATATATTACAAAACAGTCAGAGGAGAGGCTTTTCAATGCTTTCAATGCAAAGAAATGGTAAAATCTGCTGAGTTTTTTGAAAAAATAAAAAATAGACTTTGAAATACCAAATGCCATTGCAACATCTAATGACATATTTATACAAATTTATACAGGTTTCTTTCTTTAATCTTTTAATTTCCAAGTGGTTAGATATTTTGATCATCTTTTTCTAGTTTTATTGGATGATAATTAGAGAACACGATCTAAATGTCTTCTCCTTTTGATAATGTGTTGAGGGATTCTTTTGTGTGTATAGACCAGGAAGATTAATGTTATAAATTTTACTATATGTTTAATGGCTATTTGAAATAAATTTATATTCTCTACTGCATGCAAAGTCATCTATTAGACCAGACTTGTTTATTTACTTATTTATTTTTCTTTTTTGTATATTTTTAAAGTAGAGATGGGGTTTCGCCATGTCACCCAGGCTGGTCTTGAACTCCTGGGCTCAAGCAATCCTCCCTCCTTGGCCTCCCAAAGTGCTGGAATTGCAGGTGTGAGCCACCTCACTCAGCCAGACCAAGCTTATTTAATTGTTTTATAGTATCTCATTGTACAATTATTACAAACTTGTTTTATCCATTTTTTTTAATGACTGTTTGTTGTTTCCAGCTTCTTGCTATTATTAACAGTGCTGTTATGCACATTCTTACTCTAATATTGTGTTTAGATTTATAGGCATATTTACCATTTTATTTGCTCACCATCCCTTGCATCTCAAACTTTCCTTAGGAAATTATTTTTCTTTTCCCTAAAAGGGAAGGAAAAAACAAAACCTTTAAAGGTATTATTTAGGAGTTTATCCTCTAGGGAGACGCAATTGGTGAAACCATCTATTTTTGTTTATCTCTAAATAAAGCAAATCTGCATTAAATGATAGATTTGCTGGGAAATTGGGGGTTGATGTTTATTTTTGTTCAGCACTTGGAAGGTTTATCCCACTGTCTTCTGCTCTCCACTGTTTCTGTGGGGAAGTTGGCTCTCAGTCTCATTGCCATTCTTTCATTGACAACTCATTTTTTCTCTCTTGTCTTTGTCCCCAGAGCATGCTGTGTATTGTTTACCAGCTGTGAAAGTCTGTCTTCACCTTTTATCTCACCTTCACTTCCTCAATGCTTTGTTCTCCTGTTTCAAAAAGGCCATGACTTCTTGAGGACACTAAGCACATTTTCTTAAAATTTTATGTTATTTGTAGCAAATGCTTTTCAGATATGTACTTTTCTTCTGAGTGTGATTTTTCCAGGTAAAAGTGAGAGGGGAGACACACTAGGCAAAGGGAAAGGCATGTGCCCAATGATAGAGGAGAGAGAGTCCATGCATGGGGTGAGGTTGGGGGTGCTGTGCAGGGCTGGTGATCAGACCTGGCCTGAAGAGAGGTGCGGTCATGCCAGATATTAAGGATGACAGGGGAAAGCCTGGAAGACAGATGCAGTGGTCTGAGGGTGGGTGGGTAGTGAGAGCTTGGACAGGCCAGAGAGAAGGCTCTTCTCACTGATCTGACACATTCAAGTGTGGTCAACAAGCTTTGGCCTCAGATATTTTCTCAAACCAGGTTCACAGACCAAGTGAACATTTCCAGATTTCTGTGAGATGACAGAGAACAGGGAGGTCTGGAGGTGATGGCAAGATGAAAGGAATAGAAGGAGAAAAAGAGAGAGGATAATGAAGAGAGAGACAAGAAAGAAGGAAGAAACCAGGGGAACTGGGGGCCTGGGCAAAGGAGCCTAGAGTCCCCTCCCCTGGAAGCACTGTGGGACTTGTGAAGAATGGCTTACCTGGAGTGGGTAGCTACATTCATGGGTTTCTGACTCTGCAGGGGGGTTTGCAGGCCCTGGGAAATCCTGGCATCCTTCCCCAAAGGCTACGAAATGATCATGGACTATCTGCTCCAGAGGCTGACTCCACACCAGAGATCAAAGGACCAGGAGCCCAGGCACAGAACAGAGATCTCACCACTGATTGTATGGAAAGGCCAGCAGAGGGGGGCTGGGGTGGGGAAGGGGACTCCCTGCTCTCCTGTCCTCAGCTGACTTGGGCTCTTTGGCCTTGACCTTTTAGGTATCAGTGTTTGGTAGAACAGTCTAATGGCAGTCTTGGAGTTGGGTTACAGGGAGGGTTTTCCAGTTGACTTAGCTTTGTCAGGGAGATAGAAGAACTGAATCCCCCAGTTCCTCTTTAACTTTCAAAGATGGTAAGAGACTAAAACAACCACCATGATTAGAAGAGTGCTTTAAAACAGTGACATTCTAGAAATTGCCCTTCATTTTTCTGGCTTACACTAATGTAGTCTTCACTTGCTCTAACAGCATGGGTTTTACTGGGGAAATCTGTCATGGTGATGGATTGTGGAAAGAGACTTCCTGGTGACGGGACCTATGAGTTGAAGATATGATAATGCCTCACTCTTCTCCTCCCTCCCAGGCCACCAGAGCCATCCATGAGCTCCTGCTGGAACCCAGTCGGCGGATGGAGGTGCAGTCCTTCTTCTCCTCCTTGTTCATGGCCTTGCTGTTCCAGATCTCCTTTTTGGTGGTTGAAGTGGACACTGAAATAAGCCAGGATCAGCAACACATAGCTGAATGTGTGGACCCTATAAGGTACCTTTGGTGTTTGCTAGTGATTATGCTCCAGGGACCATCAGCTTAGCACCTTCGCCTGACTTGGTGTCAGCCTCCTAGGCCTGAATACCCTTTGTACACCCTCCTGCCAGGGCACTTAACATGTTCCCCATGCGTCATTTCAAGAAGTCCCCCAGGACTTAAAAAAAAATATATTTTATTATTATTATTTTTAGAGACAGGGTCTTGCTATTTTGCCCAAGCTGGTCTTGAACTCCTGGCTCAAGCCATCCTCTTCTCTCAGCCTCCTGTGTTGCTGGGATTACAGGTGCAAGTCCAGCTATCTGGACTTTTTAGAAAAGACTCCTTTAAACTTGGCCTACTAGGCTGATGTAGAGATTCTGCACCAAAATGAGATCAATACCGTGGATAAAACACACATCCGAGTCCACAGACCTGGATTGCATTCCCCACCCTTCTGCTGGCTCCTTGTGTCACCTTGTAGATGCCACATCTCTCTTGGTCTCAGTTGCTTCGCTTGTAAAATATTAGCCTGGGTCTCTGGGGGCTGTCCCACACCAGCAGTTCATGATCCTGAGAAAGTTTTGGGAGTCAGGCAGGTGGCCAGTGAGGGAGAGGAGCGCAGGTGGTGAATGACTTCCTATCTGTTTTTGGCCCTTTCTCCAGTTCTACCGTGGAGGCCCTGAAGACCTTGATGCGAAGTTCTGGGTATGGGGACTATGTGTCTTCTATACAGAGACATGGGGGCTGGTGGCTTCTTGTCAATCCTGAAAGACACTATGACGGAGTCACTGTGCTGGCCAGGTGAGCTGCACCTGGGTCCGCGGCTGGAGGGCCATGCGTTCACTTGGCCTGCTCCTGCGGCCCAGGCCTTACCTGAACACTGTGCTCTTGTTGGTAGGTCCCTGGTCATCAATAACTGTTGGCACAACCGCCCCCTCTTCAGCTCCATCATCAGATTCCTCCAGGACCCAGACTGCAAGAATCACTTAACGGCCCTTGTGTTCCTGACAGAGGTGACTGGCTCTTGGTGGGAGGGGGGCAGGTGAGGGTGATCCCTCTGTGAGACAGCCACACCCAACAGACGCCTCCTGGAAAGGCCACTGACTCACTGCTAGGAAGGGTTGGGGGACATGGCTAACGGTTACCTTGAGCCGGGGGCTTTGGTGCCTTCTTGAATCTCACAGCAGTTTGACTCTGCCCTGACTTTACAGAAAAGCACAGCTCTCTCCTTCAACCACCTCAGCCTTGAGCAGCCTTTTAAAATTAATCCTTGCTTAGCGATTGACTCAGTACAATTCAGCCACCTGACAGAAAAAAAAGAAAATAGGAAATTTAGAAAACATGGAAAAGTATATAAAAAATTATACAACCATTACTAAGCATAATCCCTAGAGGAAACCACATTTATTCAGGTTTTTGCCTATACAGAGGGGTGTGTGTGTGTGTGTGTGTGTGTGTGATAGTTGAAATCATTTTCTACTAATATTCTGTATCCTGCTGTATTCAAATATCTGTCTATGTCATTACATGTTCTTTGTAACATACATTTTTAAATTTTGTTTTATTTTTTGAGACAGGGTTTCACTCTCTTGGCCAGGCTGGAGAGCAGTGGTGTAATCATGGCTCACTGCAGCCTCCGTCTCCTGTTCTCAAGTGATTCTCCCACCTCAGCCTTCTGAATAGCGATGCCTACAGGCATGTAGCACCACACTTGGCTAATTAAAAAACAAAATTTAATATAGAGAAGGGGTCTCGCTGTACTGCCCAGGCTGGTCTTGAACTCTAGGACTCAAGTGATTCTTCCACCTCAACCTCCCAAAGTGCTGGGATTACAGTTGTGAGCCACCATGCCTGGCCTATAAATGTAAATGTTAATGGTGATTATAATGTTTCATCACAAAGATGATCTATAATTTATTCGACATTCTGTTTCCAATTTTACAAGATTATAAATAACACTTTAATGAACATCTCTGTCAAAAGTTTTTGCCCATATTCCAGATTATTTCCTTAACTATTGAATATAATAAGTGGAACTATTGGTTCAAAAAGTATGAATGTCTTCTATAACTTTTAACAATAATGCCAAATTGCTTTCCAGTAGAGCTGTACCAATTTAGATTTCCACCAACAGTATTTGGGAGAATTTCAGAGTTTCTGACCCACTACAGCTTTAAATGGGATCCTTTTAAAATTCAAGCCACCAGATTTTTTTTTTTTATAACAGGGGCTGGACTACTTTTGAACATAACCACAGAGATAGAAGATAATACATTACTAATACCAGGATGTAAACAGATATTATCCCAGTGTGTCGTCGTGTGCCCTTATGTGGATTATAGGACATTGGTGTCTTGTTGGAAGGTGTCCACTGCTAGAGGCTGACCTGTACATGTTGGTATGGGGTACTGAGATACACATTCAAGGATATATGTCATGTTGGCAGAACTCCTGCTCAGGGTGTGGGAATGAGACATGTAGGATGCAGAACCCTGACTGGAAGGGGATGGCTTAGTCCAGTGGATCTCAATCATTTATGAACGTCATATCTCGGGGAAGTTGTTTAAAATGCAGATTCCTAGGCCCTGTCCCCAGAGACTTGGATTCAGGAAGTCTGGGGTAAGGCCCAGAAGCCTTTTTTGCTGGTGGGTTTTTTTTTTTTTTTTTTTTTTTTTTTGAGGTGGAGTCTCTCTGTCGCCCAGGCTGGAGTGCAGTGGCATGATCTTGGCTCACTGCAACCTTTGCTTCCCAGGTCAAGCAATTCTCCTGCCTCAGCCTCCTGAGCAGCTGGGACTACAGGCACGCATCATCCGCGCCCAGCTAATTTTTGTATTTTAGTTTCACTACATTGGCCAGGCTGGTCTTGAACTCCTGGCCTCAAGGGATCCACCTGCCTTGGCCTCCCCTCTCAAAGTGCTAGGATTACAGGCATGAGCCATTGTGCCCACCCTCCAGAAGTCTTCATTTTCTTTTTTTCTTTTTCTTTTTTCTTTGAGACAGAGTCTTGCTCTGTTGTCCAGGCTGGAGTGCAATGGCACAATCTTGGCTTGCTGCAGCGTCCACCTCCTGGGTTCAAGTGATTCTCCTGCTTCAGCCTCCCGAGTAGCTGGGACTACAGGCATGCACCACCATGCCCAACTAATTTTTGTATTTTTAATAGAGACAGGGTTTCACCATGTTGTCCAGGCTGGTCTCGAACTCCTGACCTCAGCTGATCCACCTGCCTTGGACTCCCAAAGTGCTGGGATTACAGACATGAGTCACCACATCCAGACAAAGTCTTAATTTTCTAAAAGTACTCCAGTGGTTGCTGTGCCACAGGAAGTGCTTGGACCCAGCTTTGGGAAACAGTACAAGGCACAAGCCTGCGTGGGCTGGAGGCCACCATGAGATAGCTGCCACTCTCTTTAGAGCAGTAATTCTGAACCCTGGCTGCATATCAGTATCCTCCCGGGAGGTTTCCAAAATGCTAATGCCAAGCCCCCACCCCACCCCTCACTCTCTGTCAAGTTTTTCTATTTGAATCGATTTGGGACAGGGTCTAGGCATCAGTTTGTTTTAGAAGCTCCCAGGTTTAAAGGGATGTTCTAGAAATACAGCTAGGATTGAGAATCACTCTAGAATTTCCCCAAGTGTCTGATACCCAACTGAAACAAAGGGACAGACGATAGAGCGTTTGCTCATCTGCCACCCTGATTGCGGTTTCAGGCTGACAACGGGGAGGGGAGGTCAGCGTGCTTGGGAAGAGGCTGGAAGGCACACCCCAGTAGCGAGATGGGTGAACCCCATTCTTAGCAATCAGAGAGAGAAGTAGTAGATTCTAAAGTGGAAAGCCAGTGGGGTTTTAGGTACCAGGTAAGTAAGTAGGTCAAGATCTGTTAAGTGAGAGACCATGGCTAAGAAAGCTTTCTAATATTCCCCAGCCTTTGTCACTCCCTGATTGTTGCTTCGTTATCTTTATTCATTTCCTTGAGATGATCACAAGTAGAAATATTTAAAAGAGAAAAGGTTGTGTGCTTTTCTTCAGTGTACTCAAGAAACAGCAGAGCTCTGTTATTTTATTTCTCTCTAATTCTGTGAAAAGGGTGTTATTTAGCTCTATTTTGTAGAGAACGAAAGTGAGGCTCAGAGAATTTAAGAAGTTACTTACTCAGCTAGAGAGTAAATTAGGGTGGATCTGCCTGACTGCCAATCAAAGACAGATGAAACTGCTGAGATGTTAATGAAGACTTCTTTGCCATTAGCAACATGTAAACGTACATTCATATGTGCATGCATACATGCATGCTAAAGCAAGTACATATATTTTAAATGTATCTGATTGACTTTTGGCTTTTAAAATGTTATTTTATTATATAAAAGATATTTTCTATCTCACAAGTCATCAAGCAATAAATGTTATTTAAAATAATCTATATACACATATAATACAAACAAGCAAATTAAACCATGGAAACTGATTATTTATTTATTTTTAAAATTTTATTTATTTTATTTTTTGAGATGGAGTTTCACTCTTGTTGCCCAGGTTGGAGTGTAATGGTGCAATCTCAGCTCACTGCAACCTCTGCCTCCCAGGTTCAAGCAATTCTCCTGCCTCAGCCTCCTGAGTAGCTGGGATTACAGGCGCCCACCACCACACTCAGCTGATTTTTTGTATTTTTAGTAAAGATGGGGTTTCACCATTGGCCAGACTGGTCTCAAATGCCTGACCTCAGGTGATCCACCTGCCTCAGCCTCCCAAAGTGCTGGGATTACAGGTGTCAGCCACTATGCCCGGCCTATTTATTTATTTATTTAGTTTTGAGAAGGAGTATCGCTCTGTTGCCCATGCTGGAGTGCAGTGGCATGATCTTGGCTCACTGCAACCTCTGCCTTCTGGGTTCAAGTGATTCTCCTGCCTCAGCCTCCTGAGTAGCTGGGATTACAGATGCCTGCCACCACGCCTGGCTAATTTTTGTATTTTTAGTAGAGGCAGGGTTTTGCCATGTTGGCCAGGCTGTTCTCGAACTTTTTCTTCTTTTTTTTTGACATGGAGTCTTGCTCTGTCACCCAGGCTGGAGTGCAGTGGCTGGATCTCAGCTCACTGCAAGCTCCACCTCCCGGGTTCACACCATTCTCCTGCCTCAGCTTCCCGAGTAGCTGGGACTACAGGCGCCTGCCACCTCGCCCAGCTAGTTTTTTGTGTTTTTTAGTAGAGACGGGGTTTCACCGTGTTAGCCAGGATGGTCTCGATCTCCTGACCTCGTGACCCGCCTATCTCGGCCTCCCAAAGTGCTGGGATTACAGGCTTGAGCCACCGCGCCTGGCCCTGTTCTCGAACTTCTGACCTTAAGTGGTCCGCAAACTGATTTTTTAAATGCAGTCTTTTTTTCTCTTCTTCTTTTGCCTTCTCCCCTCCTACTACATTCAGTCTATACCTCCACCTCTTCATCTCCCAAGTATCTCAAATGCAAGCAACCAAGTATGTATCCTTCTGCATGCTCAAATAATCACACACACATAATAGATGTTGACAGATTGTTTTCCAAAGAAACACTAACAATTCACATTTATCTCAGGGAAGTGTGAGAGAAGGGTTTCTCTCTCTCTCTTCTAACAACAAAGCTTAACCCTTTTTAGATGTTTGTCCTCCTGGCAGGTATAAAGCAGGGATGTCCAATCTTTTGGCTTCCCTGGGCCACATTGGAAGAAGAATTGTCTTGGGCCACACATAAAATACACTAACACTAACGACAGGTGATGAGCTAAAAAAAAAAAAAAAAAAAAAAAATCGCAAAAACCTCATAATGTTTTAAGAAAGTTTACAAATTTGTGTTGGACCACATTCAAAGCTGTCCAGGGCAGCGTGGAGCCTTTGGGCTGTGCATTGGACAGGCTTGGTGTAAAGCAATACCTTATTGCTGCTCTGGTTTGCATCTCCCTGGCTCCTATTGATTTTGAGCATTCTGCATATAATTTTGTGATTTGGATTTGCCCTTCTGTGAATTCCTTCCCATGTCCTTTGCCCATTGTCCTATTGAATTGTTTGGCTTTTTCTTGTCTACAATACTACTTTAACTCCTGATTTTCCATTTGCACGACTACACATGTTTTTCCATCATAATGTTTTCCATCATGTGCATGCTAGTCTATCCTTAAACAGAGTGCATGCCAGGCTGGTCTATCCAGGTGAATGTACTGATGTATGTAAGTCTGAGCCAGCCTACCTGTGCAGACTCAAGGTGTCCTTCTGGCATGTTTATTCCAAAGCATGTGCACTTAGAGCAGGAGTTCTCAATGCTGGATGCATATTCATATCTCCAGGAGAACCTACCCTAATACTTGGGGGCCAACTCAGTCCAATTAACTCAGAATCTTGGGGGTGATGTGGGGTCCAAGAATCAGCATTTTTAATAGCTCTGCAGGTGACACAAACATGCATCACTTGTTCGATATCACCCAGCAGAGCCTGGAGTCCCCAGCGCTGTTGAATGATCATTACAAGGATTTCTTCCTTTTTCTTTTTCTTTTCTTTTTTTTTTTTTTTTTTGAGGCAGAGTTTCACTCTTGTTGCCCAGGCTGGAGAGCAATGACACAATTTCAGCTCACTGCAACCTCCGCCTCCAGGTTTCAAGCGATTCTTCTGCCTCAGCCTCCTGAGTGGCCAGGATTACAGGCATGTGCCACCACACCCGGCTAATCGTGTATTTTTAGTAGAGATGGGGTTTCTCCATGTTGGTCAGGCTGTTCTCGAACTCCCAACCTCAGGTGATCTGTCTGCCTCGGCCTCCCAAAGTGCTGGGATTACAGGCGTGAGCCACCATGTCTGGCCAACAATGATTTCTTAATAATTCTCCTTTCTCCCCCTCTCTTTTAAAAAATTATTATTCTGGGAGACTGTCTTTGACTTTTCTCTTTTGCCTTTTGAACAGGTCAGTAAATCTGTGTTTTGCAGTGTTCTTCAGGGTCATCCTTTCTCCATTCCCACTACCCTGGCCTAGTCCAGACCCTTATTACCTGTGCTTGAAGCAATTATTTTAACTTTTCTTAGAGACAGCGAGTCTTGCTATGTTGCCCAGGCTGGTCCCCAACTCCTGGCTTTAAGTGATTGTCCTGCCTCAACCTCCAGAGTAGTTGGGATTACAGGTGTGAGCCACCATACCCGACTGGAGCAACTCCAAAAGATAACATGCTGGTCTCTTTCCTCCTAGGATCTTCTGTCAACATAACACATTTCCCAGGTCCAACATTCCTTGCCAATGGAATCCTCCTCTGGAGTCGGATCAGCACCCAGTTGCCCTTCCCTCAACTACATTATGCTTAGCTTATCCCTACATTTCGCCCTTGTTTTGCTATACCTACCTTTTCCCATTAAACACACACATGCTTACGTTCCCCTTCCATCTGCTCATTGAAGTTCTCTTTATTCAAGTTCAGCTCAAGTTCTACCTCTTTCTTTTTCTTTTTTTTTTTTAATTTTTTTTGGAGACAAACTTTCGCTGTTGTCCTCCAGGTTGGAGTGCAATGGCATGATCTTGGCTCACTGCAACCTCCGCCTCCTGGATTCCAGCGATTCTCCTGCCTCAGCCTCCTGAGTAGCTGGGATTACAGGTGCCTGCCACCACGCCCAGCTAATTTTTGTATTTTTAGTAGACATGGGGTTTCACCATGTTGGCCACGCTGGTCTCGAACTCCTGACCTCAGGTGATCCGCCCACCTCGGCCTCCCAAAGTGCTGGGATTACAGGCATGAGCCACCACACCTGGCCAAGTTCTACCTCTTTCATAAATTTTCCTAGATGAATCAACACCTGTTTATAGGAATTTTTTACTTGCTTTTAATTTATGTAGTATTGTTATTGCCTTGAGATGTTCACTAGGTGGTTCATGTACCTAAGTCTTGACTCTCCAGCTGAATTGCTAGGATCTTTGAGGGCAGAGTGCATTTCTTACTTGTATCTCCTACAGTTTCCTTTATCAAAAATGTTTAATGGGGCTGGATGTGGTGACTCACGCCTGTAATCCCAGCACTTTGGGAGGGTAGGCAGGTGGATCACCTGTGGTTAGGAGTTCGAGACCAGCCTGGGCAACATGGTGAAAACCCCTCTCTACTAAAAATACAAAATTAGCCAGGTGTGGTGGCACATGCCTGTGGTACCAGCTACTCGGGAGGCTGAGGTAGGAGAATCACTTGAACCTGGGAGGTGGAGGTTGCAGTGAGCCGAGATTGTGCCACTGCACTCCAGCCTGGGCGACAGAGTGAGACTCTGTCTGAAAAAAAAAAGAAAAAAAAAATGCTTACGGGCCAGTTTTGTGGTGGCTCATGACTGTAATCTCAGCACTTTGGGAGGCTAAGGTGGGTGGATCCCCTGAGGTCAGGAGTTCAAGACCAGCCTGGTTAACATTCTGAAACCCCGTCTGTACTAAAAAATACAAAAATTAGCTGGGCGTGGTGGCACATCCTGTAGTCCCAGCTACTCAGGAGGCTGAGGCAGGAGAATTGCTTGAACCCGGGAGGCAGAGGTTGCAGTAAGCCGAGATCACACTATTGCACTCCAGCCTGGGTGACACAGCAAGACTCCATCTCAAAAAAAAAAAAAAAAAAAGCTTAAGGAAAACTTGGAGAATGAATAAATGACTTCTGGAATGACAGGTGCAAATTCACCTTTTATGCTTTGGCCTCTCTACCAATTCTAAACTCTTAAGAGTATTTCCCTACTAGTGAGTAGGAACCTAGTCCAAAGTCATTGATGATTTTTTTTCTCCTTGCCCGCCCATCTTTCTTGGCCTCCCTTCCCCAGCTGCTCCAGTGCCCAGATGTGGCAGCCTTAGTGGATGACTTCACCACCCACATTCTGGCAAACTGGTTCAAGAGTGAGGAGCCAGCCATTGTGAAGCCATTGCTGCAGATGCTAGAGGTCTTTGCGAAGCATGAAAACATGGTAAAATGGGGCAAGGGCTAAGGGTGTGCTCTCAGGCGATGTTGTAACCAGGGGAGGTAACATCTGCTGTGTCCAGTTATAGATAGGGTGGGACACACTCTTGGGATCAAAGAGAGCAAATCCTCATGAGGCCAATGCACCACAGACAGGAGTTGGGGCTTGAGCCATTCATGATTTCTCCCTCCGGGAAAGGTCTCCTGAAGAAGTTTTTTCATACCACTCTGCCATCACTGAGGCCTCTTAGGCACATCTGAGTCCGGCTGGGCAAGCGATTGAATGGGGATATTTGTGTGGAGAGTCCCACCGGTGAACTCAGCCGTGGTATTCCTGACAGAGCCAGCCCTGATTTAGAACAGGGTCATTTCAGAGAATAGATGAAGCTAACCCCAGGATCTCACACATGTCATCCAGGTCCCCTGGAGATTGCTGTCATCATCAGGGATGAGAAGGGCAGTGGCGATGGAAACTTATGGCATGGTGGGAGGAGGGGGCCTCCTCTGTTTTCTCCCCTTTTCTCATGATGGACGCAAGGTACCTCCCCAAATGCTCTCCTGGGCTACTCACTCCGATGGCTCCCCAGATGCTGGGCCAGTCCCAGCTCTGGAATGAAAAAACAGTAGAGTGTGGTTCTCATTTGCGGGGCTGAATTGACTTGAAATGAGAATTCCTTGACTTGGCAGGAGTCATTTCCCCAGCTCCCCGTTCCCTGAGCCACTGTCGCCCGCAGGTGAGGCGGCTCCGAATCCTCCAGCCGTATGTGCTGAACTACTGCTACTCCTCGAACAGCGACATAGTACTGGAGACTTTGCTGGTGCTGAAGAATCTCCTGAGCCACCTCACCTGGCGGCACTCCTCCTCCTTCCTGATCCAGCTCACCTTCACGCTGGTGCCCTTCTTTGAGGAGGTAAAGGCCCCTCTGGGGTCATTTTCTTTCTCTCGGCATCTGTAAAATAAGGGAGTTGGCCAGGCATGGTGGCTCACGCCTGTAATCCCAGCACATTGGGAGGCCGAGGCAGGAGGATCACATGAGGCCAGGAGCTCAAGATCAACCTGGGCAACATAGTGAGACCCCATTCTAACAACAACAACAAATTAGCTGAGTCTGGTGGTGTGCACTTGTGGCCCCAGTTTCTTGGGAGGCTGAGGCAGGAGGATTGCTTGAGCCCAGCAGGTCAAGGCTGCAGTGAGCTGTGATTGTGGCATGCAATCCAACCTGGGCGACAGAGCGATACCCTGTGTCAAACAAAACAAAACAAAACAAAACCCCTCACAGAGTTGGCAGAATGATTCAAGGCCCTTCACCTTGAATATGGTACTGTTCTGTAGGGACTTGATTGCTCCTGCCCTCCTTGTATCTTTCTGAAGGGGTGAGATGGAGCGAGAGAACAGACCACAGCAGGCGGGGATCAGAGCAGATCATTTGAGGGAGGGAATGGACAGGGGAGTGTGGGGTTGGCGGGGGTGGAGCTCAGGGACCTGATTGCTTCTGCTTCCCCACGCATGCGTGTCTTCTCTCCCAGGTGTCAGAGCATCTGCGGTTGGCAGCCTTTGAGATCTATGAGAGTCTCTTGGCCAAGGTCAAGAAGAGAGGCCTTGTCTTCCCCTTGAAGCACCAGATCCTCAACTTGCTAGTCCCCCTGGTGCTCCACCTGAGGGACGTAAATACCGACGTGGCTCTGGTGAGAGGCCAGGCCTTGGAGCCTGGTCTTCAGTCCCTGTTTTCATGGGAGGTAAATGCTAAGCATGTTGAGTGCTTAGGCAGGGCTGTGGCAGTACTGGATGGTGCTGAAGGAGTCAACTAGTCTCTGACCTTGCCGAATGACAGACTAGAGATGAACAGATGCTTGCACTAAAGTTTTCTCCAGCTTCTGGCTCCATCCGGTTGGCCACTGACTCCCAGTGGAATACTGTGGGTGTTTCTCCCAGGAGGAAAGTCTCATCGACGGGCAGCAGTCCCTCTCTCTGCCTCCCAGCCTGTGGCTCCAGGAGCCCCCTCTCCATGCTGCTTTCTGCATACTCTCTGCCTGTGAATGGAGACAGAGCTCCCTGGGTCGGGAAGACCCTGTGGGAGGCAGTGTGGTGGGCAGAATAGAGAGAGCCTGGAACTGGCCTTCATTCCGGAATGAATGAGTCCAGCTTTGAGCCCAGGAGACCCAGGAACGTGAACTGCAGCTTGAACACTTGAAGACTGGCTGACTTACTCTGTGACAGGACACCTTGTTTCCACAGAGCAGGCCACTCTGCCATCACTGAGGCCTCTTAGGCACATCTGAGTCCGGCTGGACAAGCGATTGAATGGGGATATTTGTGCGGAGAGTCCCACCGGTGAACTCAGCCGTGGTATTCCTGACAGAGCCAGCCCTGATTTAGAACAGTGACCACCCAGTTGGGGGATTAAGACTTTGGGGAAATTTATTTTCAGAGAGACTGTTTTGTGGGGCAGGGAGGGTTGCGGGGGTGGCAGCGTGGGAAGCCATGCGGCTGGTGAATAAGGCTCTGAGCTAAATAGTTCCAGTGCTCTGGGTCTCAGTGTCACACCACAGCAACTGGGAAAATTGTTAGAACTGTAATTTTTAAACTTCTTATTAGGGGGAATAGGGGGTTGTAAGTAGAGCCAACCTGCCTGGACCCCTGCCTTTTTCCTAAGCCCTGGATCCCTGTCGATTCACCAGCGTTTCCATCCCATCGAGGCTGAGTGTGATGCTGCTTGTCTCTGTTCTTTGCACCCCTCCATTTCCCTGCCCAGTCCCACTCCTCAGCTCCTCATGCTGAGCCTCCTTGTCTCCCAGATCTGCCGGTCTGCCCTCTGCCACACAGCTGCCATGCTGGGCTGGTCAAAGCTGAAAGCAGTATTTGCAGAGAAAGATGTGTGGAACATTCTTGGAGCCCTGGTAAGCCAGCAGCTTGCTCACTGTCTGCTCCTATGCAAGGGAGGGTGGCGTCCCCAGCGGTCTAGGTCGTTTTCCTGCAGCTCTGGGGTTTGCAGCAGTAGTGGCAGCGGCAACAGCAACAGTTCAATGATGAGATACTCATTAAGCACCTACTTTGTGATTGGCACCTAGATATAGTTCCTGCCCTCCCCTTGTTTCCTGTCTGAATTGGGGAGCTAGACACACAAGTAGACAATCTCAGCATACTTCGGGAAAGGCAAAGGAGGGGTACCCAGCACAGTCTGGAAGTTGAAGGAAGGCTTCCTGGAGGAGGTGTCATCTTCAGAAGGAGAAATATAAGGCAGGGTAACACTTAGGCAAAGGGAAGGAATCAAGAGTGCAGGCCAAGGTGATGCTGTACATAGGGGTGTGGAGCAGAGCACACATTATCTGGTATGATTTGATCCTTACAACCATCCTGAGAAATAAGGGCAGAAGGGCCTGGTGTGTAGGGAGCTATTAATGTAAGTGCCTTGGAATCGTTAGAGCAGGGGCAGAAAAGGCAAATGCTTACAAGGTCATGCAGGAAACACTAACCAGAGATCAGACTGGATGGGCCCGGAGGAGAGATGTAGGCCCCAAGACCCAGCACAGGCAGCCTCCTCAGCATGGCCAGAAACCACACACCATTGTCACAGCACACATCTGGTAACACCGCCTTTACTCTCCTAAAGTGAAATTCATAAATAATATCCTCTACCTTTGCATATTTCCAAAATAAGTCATATAATGCCCTAACTCCAAAGGAGAAGTGAAAGTAATCTACAACAAAATAATCTGTAGGAATATATGGAACACAATATAGCATAACATGATATAATAATAGAATATAAATACTGTATGTAAATGCTTGGGCCAAGTTACTTTTTATTTATTTATTTATTTATTTTTTTGAGACAGAGTCTCACTCTGAAGTCCAGGTTGGAGTGCGGTGGCGCGATCTTGGCTCACTGCAACCTCCGCCTCCCAGGTTCAAGCGATTCTCCTGTTTCAGGCTCCCGAGTAGCTGGGATTACAGGCACTTGCCACTGGGCCCAGCTAATTTTTGTATTTTTAGTAGAGACGGGGTTTCTTTTTTCTTTTGTTTTTTCTTTTTTGAGATGGGGTTTCATCATGTTGACCAGGCTGGTCTCAAACTCCTGACCTCAGGTGACCTGCCTGCCTCAGCCTCCCAAAGTGCTGGGATTATAGGTGTGAGCCACTGCACCCTGCCAGGGTCCAGTTACTTTAGTAGACAATGATGTACATGAATCCTTGCCCCTCTCCATAGAATCACTGTGAATGGATCTGCTACAAATGCAGAATGATATGGGAGTCACCACAAGAAGGGTCACCACAAGAAGGGTCACCATTGGTGATGGGAATTCCAAAACGACTGTATTAATAGCTCCCCCGACACCAGGAAAGTCTGATTAGACCAGAAAGTCTGATGACTTTCTGAACAAGATGAAGTATAGTCTTTGATGTCTATTGCAGATGCACTCCTAGAAAATCCAGTATGTAGTTGAACTGTGAAAAACTACTCTGTTATCTAAAAGAGCCAACTTCTAGGCATGGATTAGTATAAGTAGGATTTTGGTAGACATAAATGTGTAATGGGATATTAGAAATTGGTGTACCCTCCTCATCATTTTGAAAACCATAAACATCCCCCAGTTCCATAATTCCCTCCACACAGTATAGTCCCCAGTTGAGAACCCATGAATTGTTTCTAGGAGAGAAAGTGGCTCAGGGTTGTTAAGAGAAGCAGGAAATCCATGCCGGGTGCGGTGGCTCACACCTGTAATCCCAGCACTTTGAGAAGCCAAGGTGGCCGGATCACCTGGGAACAGGAGTTTGAAACAGCCTGGCCAACATGGGAAAACCTTGACTCTACTAAAAATACAAATATTAGCCAGGCGAGATGGCGGACGCCTGTAATCCCAGCTACTGGGGAGGCTGAGGCAGGAGAATCGCTTGAACCCAGGAGGCGGAGGTTGCAGTGATCTGAGATCGAGTCACTGCTCTCCAGCCTGGGTGACAGAGCAAGACTCTGATTGGGGTGAAATTTCCCCCATTGATGTTGGCAAATAATTTAAAATGTAAAATACTGCATAGATCAAACAAAAAAAATATCTTCAGGCTGACTTTTCTCATGGACTGTCAGTGTGCAGTCCGGTCCAGGCAGGAGACGTGGAAGCAGGAGGCTGGGCCACAGTGTTCTGTGGAGGTTTGGGCCCAGTGAGGAGCAGGACTTGAGGCTGTAGGCAAGGGGAGTTGTTGAAGCATTTTAAGCAAGTGGGTAGCATGGTTAGAGAGCTGTGCATTTCACACAAATCACCCAAGCTACAGATCAGAGAAACGTTCCCAAGGGATGGAATTGGAGCCTGTGCTGTATAGAGTGTCTGGGGAGAGATGATGAAGTCAAGAAGACAAAGGCATGGGCGGGATTAGCTAGTTGAGGAGATTGATTTGATATGAAGTGTGAAAGTAAAAGTTGCCTCTTGGCTTCTGACATGGGTGAATGCTGGTGTCCTGGACTGAGGTCAGAAATACAGAGGGAGGAACAGGTGTGGAGGGGAAGGTGGTGGCTTGATTTTGTGCATGTTAAGCTTCTAAAATCTGTGAGAACACCACAGGTTTGTGCTTCCATTGGAAGTTAGATATGTATCACTGAAGCTTGGAGAACAGGGCTGTGTTTGGTGAACCCTGAGCATACCGTTGGGTAGTAGATGAAGACTGCAACCCTAAGCCCAGATACGCTCTCCTAAGGAAATTGTGTGGTGGAAGGAGCATATGAGTCAACACTGGGATCCCAGGAGACATCAGTTCCAAGGATCCCACAGAGGAGACTAGAAAGGGAAACCTGGCAGAAAGTCAAAGGAGGACAACAAGAGAGGAGGGTCATGGTCACCTAGGAAGGACCATGACCAGTTTCAGGAAGCAGTCAAGGGTACAAAAACCCAAGGGTTTCTCGGGTAACTTCAAAAGATGGGAGAGATGAGCAGGCAGGCTAGGCTAAGCCTCCCCACCTCCTTCAACCCCAGCAGCCCCACTTCTCCTTCTCCTTCTCTTTCTCCTTCCTCTTTTTTTGTAGAGACAGAGTCTTGCCATGTTGCCCAGGCTGGTCTCCAACTCCCGAGCTCAAGTGATCCTCTTGCCTTGGCTTTCCAAAGTGCTGGGATTACAGGCGAGGGCCACCACACCCGCCCCCCACCCCTTCTATTAGTTTGAGATATTGGGTTTCCAGTTAAGATTTCTTTTTGAAGAAAAGATCCTGCCAAAAGAAGCTGGGAAAAACCATGGATGTAGCCTTCTGTTTTAAGAACTTAGACTGCAGAGTGAAAGAGGAGAGTTAGGATCGGAGCTAGGAAGGAGATGCAGGAGGCGGGGTTTGGGTTAGTGGTTGTTGCAAAGGGAAGGACACATCATCCTTTGAACCTTCAAGGATGGAAGTCTGATGAACACAGAAGGGGCTGTATTCCTAGGCAGGCGATTGAAGGTATGAAAACACGTAATTACATGCAGCACTGCTAGGCTCTGTTTATTTTTATTTATTTATTTTAAATATTTTATTTCATTTTATTTTATTTATTTACTTTTTTGGAGACAGTCTGGCTTTGTTGCCCAGGCTGGAGTGCGGTGGCGCGATCTCGGCTCACTGCAACCTCCACCTCCTGGGTTCAAGCGATTCTCCTTCCTTAGCCTCCTGAGAAGCTGGATCTACAGGCGCGTGCCACCACACCTGGCTGATTTTTTTGCATTTTGGTACACACGGGTTTCACCGTGTCGCCCAGGCTGGTCTTGAACTCCTGAGTTCAGGCGGATCTGACTGCCTTGGCCCTCCGAAAGTGCTGGGAGTACAGGCGTGAGTCACTGTGCCTGGCCTATTTTAAAAATTTTAGGTTCGGGGGCATGGGTGCTGGTTTGTTACATGGGTATATTGTGTGATGCTGAGGTTTGTGCTTCTAATGTTCCCATCCCCAAGGAGTGAACATAGTCCGTAGGTAGTTTTGCAACCCTTGCCCCACTCCCTCCCTCCTGTTTTTTGGAATTCTCAGTGTTTATTGTTCGCATCTTTGTGTTCGTGTGACTGAGGCTCTGCTTAAACAGAATGCTGTAGGCATGATCTTTTGCAACCTAAAGCATATGACCTTGAGATTGAAGATTTAAACTAAGATAGAAATAAACAGGATTTAAGCAATAGGGTTCACCTTATTGTTGGGAGTAGGAGAAAAAAATGTATGTGCCAAACACTGGGGCCAGTCTCTATGAGCTTCATGCTTAAACTGGGTCAAGGCCAGGGAGTATGATCTCTGTGGCATGGTCAATCCGGGAAGGCTTCATGAAAGAAAGAAGATTTCAGGAGCTGTGGTAGGAGGGGATGGAGATGGAGACGGTTTTGACAGATTTTTGCACTCAGGGGATGGCTCCTGTGTAATCTCAAAACGGTCTGAGGGTCCCTTCCATAATCTGATACCTTTTCTTACAGCTGGAGCAGGAGACAAACAAAGCCCTCTGGTTCCTGAAGCAGTGTGTGGCTCTCTTCAAGAGCCCACAGGTTCCCATCCGCTGGGCAGCTGTGTGGTTTGCAGGTATGGCCTTTCGTCTTGTTGGAGCTACTGTGTCCTTGTTGTAGGGTCCCTTAAACTGACTGGGCACCCAGGACATGAGGACACACAGAACCCATGGGAATTACATTGGGGGGTGGGAGTGGAGGTGGGAGTGCCTGCCTGTGCCTGCCTGCTCCCTCCCCTGCAGGAAGCTTCTGGTCGGGTTGGGTGGTAACCTTCCCATAGCAGAATGTGCCAAGTCCTAGGAGACCAACCAGCAGAGAGACAAAGGGTGGGGCATATGGGGTCTGGGAGCTGCTCAGTGGGGGAAGTTCAGAGGTAGGTGGGGGACTGCCTCAGATCACCCCAGGGAACAGCTGTTCAGGGCAGAGGAGTATCCACTCCTTCACCCAGCCCAATTTGCTTAGAACCCTTCAGAGAAGCAAGGGACACAAGTTTGACTTTACGGGAAAAGTTCAAACCTGAGGCTGGTGGCCAAGGGAGGGAAAGACAGGAAAAAGGAGGGGAATGGTGAGTGTTTTGGGAAGGGGGCCGAGAGTACTTGCAGCCAGGACCCCACGGATTCCTGGTGGGGCCTCTGAGGTGCTTCTCTGCGTCCCTGTAGGCCAGATTATCCAAACCCTAGACTTGGAAGAGATTGATGAAATTGAGGAGGCGTACACAGGTGAGTGGCAGCCCAGTTGCCCCCTCCTTGCATCTTTTAGTGGCACCGGTGTTGGTGGGGAATGCTCAGAAGTTAGGAAAAGTGGGCAGATGGCCTCACAAAAATGATCATCCAGAAGTGTGAAGAGGCAGGCTCATCCCCAAGGTGCTTAGGTTCTGAGGTGCTGGTCAGAGCCCTCCTGCCCCATGTTCACTCACACCCTCACCACCATGGAGCCCATTCATCAGCCAGGAGGGTCCCTTGGGTTTCTTGTAGAAGAGACAGCGCTGGGCTCCCATATGTAGTTGAGTCCCTGGCTGCAGCTCTCTTTGAAGTCAGAGAACTTCACACATAGCTATTCTATGGGAAAGAGAGGACGCAGGGCCAGGGAGGGGCAGAGGAGAGGAGTGAGTGGTTGGTAATGGGTGCAGGGTGAGGAGCAAGTGGGCGTCACATCTCCCTGTGCTCACAGCAGCTATGTGGCCTTGCTTGCAACAGAACGTTGTGGACTCCTAGAAGAAACTCTTGCTCGTAGTTTAAAATCCACCAGTCCTGACCCCATTGCCTGGTACCTCTCTGCCGCAGGGCCTAGGCCCTCCTGCAGCCCACTATCCTTTCTCTGTCTGTGTTTCAGCCCTAAGGCACATGCAGAGAGACTCTGATCCCATGGTCAGCTGCCTCACCACGCAGACTGTCTATATCCTGGAAGCCAAGAAGAAGCTGCTACTGGCCAAGGCCCCGACCTCCTGCTTCTGCAGGAGGAGGCCCCAAAGGCACTACTTCTGAACTTTCATCCTTGAGTCTCAGATGTAGGCCTGACCATCAGACCCTGTGACAATGGGGCCAGATTCCTGGGTCCTGCGCTAGAAATGGAGGCATATCCCTGCAGAATCTTTGTAATAAAAGGAAAAAGCATGCACCTTTGTGAAAATAGCTATTATGTTGTCTTGCCAGTCAATTCTTGGCCTTCTGGGGTAGAGTCACTTGTGAGCCACCTTCTCTCCTGTGAACATCTGGGTCGGGGAGACCTTTCCCTGCTCTGCCCCTCTGCTCCCTTCTCCCATTCAGCCATGGGTCTGAGGCCAGAGCCAGCCGTTTCTTTTGAACCAACCTCAACTATGAGCCGAGGGGGAAGTAATGTTGGCATACATGAGGTGTTCTAGAATGCAGTTGTGATGGTAAGCAACAGAGTTGCTTAAGCAGGAAAGTGATTTATTAAAGGGTTGTTAGTGAAAAACCTCCTGGAAGATCAGAGAGTTTGGGTACCACAGAGCCAGGGACAGTGCTGCTCTATAGAAACACCACCACGACTGGCCCTTGGCACAGCCCAAACCACACCCCATGTGTCAACACTCAGGCCTGGATACTTGTCCTGCAGTGCCCTACCTCTGCCAGGGCAGTTTTGCTTTGTTACAAGCGATGATAAAAGATAGATCTTACTAAAAACCTATTAACAGGTCAAGTGCATTGGGATGAGACCCACCTCAAAGACTGCTCTGACACCCCCACAAGTCACCTCCTCACTTTGGTCAGGCATAAAATAACAGATACAAGGTAATGAATAAATGGAAAGTAATGGATTCTAGGGCCATCTCTGTCCCAGGATGATTTTGGCCAACTCTGTTGGCCTCTATGGGCCTCAATTCTGTAAAATGTAAATTTATAAACAGAGAGTTGAGAAACATTATCTTTCTTTGTTTTTAAAACTCAACTTCAGACGCTGAGAAAAAGATACCTTTTAAGATACCACCTAGTTCTGACAATTGAATGGCTCTTACCAAATTCTGAGAGGTGCCATTCCCTTGTGCCTGGGAAAGCTGCCCCATAGCTTATATCCTAAATGGAATTTTTCTTGACACTCTCTTGTTTTCCAAATTTTCTAAAGTAAGCAGATATTATGCATATAATCTGGAAACAAAACACCACCCCACATTAAAAGAATACAAGAAGAGTCTCTTAACCCAGTGTTCCTGTCCCCCCCACATCCCGCAGGAGCCTTGGCATCCTCGAGAGACAGGATGAACTGCATTTGGAAAAATTACCTTGTGTTGCAAACTTTCTGGGGGGTGCAGGGAGGAGCGCAGTGGCAAGGAGGAACCAGATGGCTGGAGTCCACTGCAGGTCTGGCCCGTGACCAGTTCCCCAGTGGCCAGTCTCTGGGTCTTGCCCACACATCCTGTCTAGCCTGCAGCTGGCCATGCGCAGGTGTCACTTCCTGCAGTTCACAGTGGGCTCTTCTGTCCCACTGTCAGGCAGGATCCTATGCAAAATACAGGCCTGTGGGGAACGAGGGTGGGGCGGGGAGTGGCATTGGTGATGCTGGATCAGCCAGCCAAAAACAGCTGTTCACAAGAAGCACCCTGCTCCCGGGCAAGAGGCTCTGTGCCTGCCAGCGGGGCTGGGAAGTCAGGACAACTCCGCCCACGTGTGTCTCCTTCCATGGCCCAGGGTCCCTCTCACTCACCAAGGCCTTTCTGTGAGGACCAGAAGCCTCTCTAGAGGAAACCTTCCCCAGGAAGCCTTTGCCCTCCCACCCACGGTGACTTCTGCCACCTACAGACTCCAGGAATTCCCTGGCCGAGCACCTGTCACAGCCAGGTGCTGGACAAGCAGCAGGGGACCTGTGCAGGCTGAGGAAGCAATTTGGTTTTATATTTGGGAAACAAAGCAAAGAGAGACCCCACTATATTCCTGATACAAAAATCAGGAAGTTAAGCTTTTTAATCAGTCGTGGCTGGTGATGAAGATGTGGACTCTCCCTGAGGGGCCTCTCTGCCCAGGGGATGGGCCAGAATCTCCGGGAGCTGGTGAAACAATTCGTGGTTATCAAAAGGGAAATATGGGTTCTTAAAGACTAAAAAGCACTGATCTAGGAAAAAAATTATGGTCACACATGGTGGCTCATGTTTGTAATCCCAGCGCTTTGGGAGACTGAGATGGGAGGTAAGGCTTGAGCCCAGGAGTTCGAGACCAGCCTGGGCAACATAGTGAGATCCCATCTCTACTCAAAAAAAAGAAAAAAGAAAAAAGAAAAAAATTACCTTTGTAGAGCTCTTTTCTTATATGATCTTTTTATAGTCTTGCCTTCTTTCCATAAGTGGCAAGGGACTGAGACACATCTGGCATGCACCACGCACAGCGCAGTCCAGGCCCTAGAGAGGCACATGTTACATTATCAAAAGGCAAAGGCTGCTGTGTTCGGGCAGGTTTAGATGCAGATCCTGGCTCTGTCCTTACTAGCTGTGATCCTGGGAAAGTCACTTCCATCCTGAGATCTTTCTCATTTCATAAAACGAGAATGTCACCTGTCACACAGGGCAGTGAAGACACAATGAAAAATGCTCTGAACAGTGCCTAGGATATAGCAGGTGGTCCACAAATGCTGCTGCCCACTCTTCCAGCAACTGCATCTGCCTCCGGAGACAACATATGGAGTCTGGAGGAGAATGTGACACTCTCGAAGCTCTCTGCTTTCTAACTGGTGAAGCCCCAAACCCACAGCTCAGGAAGTTCTCATCAGGCTGGGCCCAGCCCCAGAGGCCTGCTGCACCCATTCACCCACCCACCACCACCACCAACTCCCTCTCCAAAGGTCCCAGCCAAAAGTCAGCAGCCCCCCGGAAGGGGGCAGGGGACACCTCCACAGACATTGGTCATTCAGGTTTTATTTATGACAACTTCTTAGAACACACACATCCAATCTAGGAACAGAAATGTACAACATGAGGCTTAAATAAGTTTCATACACTATGTACAGCCATTGGCAGAGGTACAAAACATATATACACCTTGTGCTAGTCACATCGCGGAGGACAGCAGGAGTCTAATGAAGCCTGCAGCCTGGGCAGGGCATGATTGCTAGAAAAGAGCTGGTGGGCAGGGCAGGGCCCTGATTCATCTCAGGGGTCTTCTCTGACCCTCGGCTCTTTGTGAAGCAGTTTCTACTTCCTACTTCCCTGCAAGGCTCTCAGGACATGGTTCACGGGACTGAACTGGGGTGTGATGGGGGCTTCAAGATCATGAGTGCTGGGGATGGGGCAGGGGACAGAACAAAGATATCAAAGAAGACACAGAACTTTCCCTGCAAAATCTGTCCTTGCACATAAGACGGCAGGGAAGGATCTGGGAGTCAAGAGAGGAGGGCCAGGCCCAGGAAGGCCTGTGGGGCACTGGCCACTGACCAGGAGGCTATGCCAAGCGAGGAGAGCAGCGAGCAGTTGCCTGTTTGGGATGGCAAAGGGACACATACCACAGGGCCGGGACACACAGTGGGAGGTCACTGCTCCTGCAGGGCAGGTTCTGCCCACACAAACACGATGGTGAACAGACCAGGCACAGGCAACAACCAGGGGATATGCCTGCTCCCAGCCCAGACCACATCGGGGGATGCCCCCCAGAGCTGAGCGTTAGCAGGGCAAAGAAGTGTTATGTTCCCTAACTTCACTGCAGCCGCCTGCCGGTGTCTCCCTCCACCACATCAGGCACATGAGAAAGTCCCCGTGACCTCGTGTTTTCCCCATGTGGTTTTGTGCTTTAAACTGCCCTCTGCCCAGGCCACACAGCCCCAGACAGGCGGCAGGGCTGGACAGCTGAGGATGAAGAGATTCCTAGGCTGAATCCAGGGCGAAGCCATGCCCAGATCCACCGCTGTCCCTTCCCAAGGGGCTGAAGGTGGCACTCTGACCACCTCAAAGGCTTGGGTGTGCCAGCCTCCGCCTGTTAGTCTTTCCTCCTTCCTTGGAAATCTCGCAAGGCAGCTCCAGGCGCTGCCTTTGAGAGTTCCGGCTGCCTCAGAGGAGTCCGCCACTCACATGAAAGCAAATACTGAACTGACTGACAGTGAGGACGGGGCCCCGGCACAGGACTATGCTGAAGAGGCCCAAGGGCAGTGGGGATGGAAGACTCCTTCTATCCAGGGAACCCGCTCATAAGCTTCGAAAGCACAAAGTGGGGCTTGACCCAGGAGACAGGGAATCAGAGCAAGCTCTTCAGGCTCACTAGGGCTAGGACTCAGCCTGAACTCAGGCGTTTAGAGATTTGGGGTGCGGGGTTTAGAGAGCGCTTTACTCCTGGTCCCATGGTATACAGATGTGGCTGGGCCTGACAAGGCTCAGATCTTAAGATGGGCACAGAAGGGTGAGAAGTTAGCTGGCGAGTCCCAGAATTAGCACGAGCCATGGGCCAAGGCCTGGTCTGAGCAAGGGCAGCCCCCTGTCCCAGACACAGGCATCCCCAATCTCACTTTGGACAGAGGCAACCTGGGAGGAACTTCCCGGGCCCGGGTCTATCCAGTCTGCCTGCGGGACCCTGCCATTGTGCTCAAATCACAACCATTTTGTGCTTCCAACACTTAGGGTGCTTGTGCAGTGATTGGAGCTGGGGGCCTGCCCCCTAACGATGGACCCTGGACATCCCTGAAAGAGTGGGCAGAGACTCCAACTCTCATGGAGCACAACTTGGGGTGTCTCAGGGATGCTGGGCTCAGGGCTCCCGAAGGACTTCAAGTTTAGAGAGTCAATGACACTTGCCAGGACAGCAGAGCTGGCCCCGCCGTGAGGTAGCTGACCCATCGGAAACAGCGGAAAATGGGCAATGATGATGAGCACCTCTCGCGGGGCCGTAAGATCACACTTCGTGTGAGAACACGCCTTGCAGCTACAGTGCAGTCACCCCAGGTGGGGCATCCCCCGCCCAGCTGTGGGAGCTCAGGGGACAGAGTCTTATGTGTTTCTATCGCTTGTAAACAGTCATGCGGACGGATTCTTTCTTACAGGTTGCAAGGTCAAAACCTTCTGTTCAGGTGGGGAGGGATGGAGAGGAGTGGGAAGAGATTTGTGGCCACATCTCAGAGCTAAGGGGTTACCCAGCACCCCCAGGGTGGCCAGAGGAAGAAGGATTTCCAGTCATTGCAGACAGACTGTTCAGGTCCTGGG